ATATCATATCGAAAGCCAGTAGTCGTCTGTACATTTCATGTGTTTGTAAATTCTATGGATTGCCGTCGGATCATCTTCATCTTCTTTTTATCAGTCTTATTCTATCTATACTTACATATGCTGTAGAAGTATGGGGCTGCGCGTATTATCATAATAATAACATAGGTGACAAATTACTCCTTAATTTTGGCGCGAAATTTCAGCGTTAATTTTTAATTTCACATGTGAAATTACCAAATTGCCATGGTAACATCTCTTGTATCTCGATCGGAGCCAAGATGGCGTCGAGATCTAAAACGGTGACCCTTGAAGAGTTGCGAAAAAAAAGGAAGTGGCCGAAAATTATTAACAGGCACGAAGAGTTCGAAAGGTATTTGTTGTGAAGAAACTTAGAAAATTACGAACTTTAACAATAATGTATGCTTTAATTCAACGAAAACTATATTCTTCATGTTCTCGGTTTTCGATAAAATAAACCAGTAAAAACAATTACGGTTGTGAACGTAACTTGTCACCCACGATATTAAAAGGTAATCAAATGGTTTTCTCGTGAAATTAGGAATTAATTTCACTTGCGTTTTGTCAAAATTCTGATAATTTCCCTCGCCTAAAGGCTCGGGGGAAATTATCAGAATTTTGACAAAACGCGCGTGAAATTATTTCCTAATTTCACTCGTCGCCATTTGATTACACATACGTATTTGAGTCGCATAGACAGGCTGTTCAAAAGAGCTGTTAAGCTTGGTTACTATAAAGAGCTTTTTTCGATTGAAAATATTATTACTCTTAAAGATAAGAAGTGTTGGGCCAAGATCACCTACAGCGATTTTCAACAGCTTTAGATGACCTTTTGCCACCAGAGCGACGTAAGAGGCGCCATAATTATATTCTCCCGCTTGTCAGAACTGAACGTTTCAAGAGGACTTTTGCTAATAGATGTTTGTTCTCTTGTTAGTTAGTCAGTTAGTTATCTAGTTAGTTAATTAGTTTTATATTCATGTTCGTATCATTGTAACTAAACACGTTTGTTGTTTAGAGTGCTCAATAAAGACTTTTATTATTATTATATTCAAATTACTACAAATGTCAGTTACATAATTCAATCAGTCATACATTTATAAAACAAATTGTAAGAGCATCAATTGCCGCGATCATCTCCATGTCTACTCGGCCTGCCGAAAGGCTACTTCAACCTCCGTCATAATAGTAGATGGACTCACTCAAAAATGTTTTCCTCCCAGTAAAACGGTAAATTCAGACTTATCAATATTTTTAAATCAAAAAGAAAGGTAAAACTACCAAGTTGATAAACCAGGTTACTACGATGATTCAACTGGCAAGTTGCATAGCATCGATATCAATGGAATAAAGACGGTCAAAGACTGCATGTGGCTACTTGTACATGTATAACACTTTGTAAAGCACTGGGAAAAACTAAGTTGTATAAAGACGCTAGAAGGTAGTGTTACAGAAGATTTGTCTCATATTCAAAACAGAAAACCTGCCGCATCCCACTAATGAATGAGTACCCTGTTCCACAAGAGGAAGATGACTGAAGAATACATTTTCTAATTGACAATCAACCAATAATAAAATGATAACAAATAATAATGATGACAATAATAATAATGATAGCAATAGTAATATGATAATAATTTAAAGGGGCTAACTCGAGAGCCAAGTGGTTTCTCTATCCTCTGGACTCCAACAATGATTCCGTCATTCCGCGTATCAGGATACTCCGCCATTCCACAATATGTCTGTTCCTTCATTCTGTTGAATAACTCAAGATATCGGATCTAATTTGCGCATTTAAAATCGCGTGGAATCCTGAAATGATTGTGAGATGATTATCGCTTTCTGCTGTCCTTCGTATTGTCACGGCAAGAACTGAAAACATAATGTGCTGGTGGCTATAAGTCGGAAATGACAAAAGGAGAGAACTCCGGTGTGTATCGAGTGCGAATGTCGAACGACTAAGACACTCCCAAAAAAAACAAGAACTGGCCCCATCGGGAAACGTGTCAAAATTGGGTCAAGATCGGAATTCTATTGTTACACCCACTCACTCATCTCGATAACAAACGTGGCTTCGCCTCCTGTTGGAGGTAGTAGCCACAAAAATTATTCTGCCCTCTGTCAGCCTTAAGTTCTTCCTTATGTTCTTTTCGCAAATGACTTTCTAACAATTATAGCCTTGGTGTACCATGAGTAACATAGCTCGAAAAAAAAAAAAGAGTTTATGAAGTTCCAAAAGAGCTGCAAAACATTTTAAAAGCCAGAAGTTTTAATGTCTATAAGTTTAGGCGCATGAAAGTCCGTCCTTAAACTATATTAACTAAGACCCGCTTTAAACAACATTGCTCAGCTGCGTACTGACTTGAACACCAAACAGAACGGATGCAAAAAACTGCAATCAACAACTCAGTCACATCCGCGAAGACTAACTACCATGTGCGTATCACTTCAAAAAAATCACTCACAAAACTCGCTCTTTTAAGCGTAAAATCGCTTTTTTCTACATACATTTCGAAGTATCGGATTTTAAACAAAATACTGCCTACACGTTCGGCTAAATATAATCGATTCTCTTTTTATAACCATAACACAACGAAGCTTGGAATGTCAAAGGCCTAATTTTCTGAGCATTTCTCCAAGCAAATAATAATAACAAAATTTGGTAATAAGAAGGACTGGCTCCAGATAGCTTCGACAGAGTTTCAAAGAAACATATAGTGTCAATGGAATATGCTTCGTAAGTACTAGGCATTTCAGCCTTTAATGTGTTTCTCACACTAAATAGTACAGAACCCTTATCGTTCGAGTCACGCATCTTCATTCGACCATCTCCACGCAGAAAAAGGTTGTTGATTAAGTCAGAGAATCGCTAAAACACGCGGTCACTGTTACGATTAAAGGCAATGAATTATTAGAGAACGAAACGTTCCTTGTCTACAAAAATAAATACAGCAACTTAGTGATAACTGGTTTAGTAGCGCTCTAATCAAGAAATTAAGTTTCCACGGACGCAAAATGTCCTCGTAAGTTCCTTATCATCGGTAACAAACTTGTCCAATTTTGACGCCAAACTGTTCTTTTCCTACTGCGCGGTGAAAGAACGTCCAGTCTTCAATGGGGAGAACATCAACTTTGTTAGTTGCGAACTTAAACTCGGTTCTGCGCCACTTTCCATCATCGCGCTGTTGTAAAATGATAAAAATACGTTATTACAAAAACAACTAGACATCATCTTGCTTGCTGTGCAACGTTTGATTTTTGCAATCAAAACAGCACTGCATGATACTTGTCAGTACCTGGCAGTAGTCTCGTGTAACGTTTGGCCTTGGATTGCTTGTCGGTGTGAAGTCGAAGCCTCTCCTCCCATGAAAAATCCAGGAATAACGATGACTTTTTGAGGCTCTGTGGAACCATGGTACAATTCTCTTACACTTGACTGTTACTGTTTGGCTGACCGTGGTGCTAAGAAGTCGCAGGAAGTTAAGCTGTACTTTACTGACTCTGTAGCTGATCTAAAAATTGGGGGAAAGAAGGCTTCGATTTTAAGCTGGTGTTAATTAAAAATCATAGAATTTTACCAAGAAAATGCAAGAAGTCAATTGCACTTTTGCTTATCAGTGAACAGGATACATATTACCTTAAAACCTTGTTTAAGATTTGAAAATCTCTGCCACGATGATTTTGAATCATTTTTCCAGGTCTTCTTCGGAATCTGTAGAATTTATAAAATTATAAAGGCTGATAGTTTCTAAAGAAACTGTTTGGGGCTGCGTTGGTGGGGGTAACGAAATAATTTGGTTATATCAACAAAGTTGAAATGGTAAATTGGCCATCGTAACGATTACAAAAGCTGACGTTTCGAGCGTTAGCCCTTCGTCGGAGCGAATAGAGGAATTGTGGGTTGTGTGTGCTTTTAAAGGCAGAAAATGGAGCTACGGTGGCCAATTTACCATTTCAACTTTGTTGATATATCCAAGTTATAAAATTATAGCTCGAGTTTCGGGAACATGATTAAAAAAAATATCATGACTCAAGGAAAACGTATACACAAGACCTGGTTGTGCTGTGATGCTAACTAACATTCTTGTTGTAAGAAAACCAACATACCTTATCCTGAAGGGGAGAAACACAAGATTCCCCTCCCGCTGTAAACTTGCAGTAAACCTTAATGGCATCAGCAGGGCATCCAAGGTTGGGATCAATCCAGAAATTACCTGTACCAGATATGGTTAACACTTTTACAATCGAACCTGTACTAGGTTGTCACCATCACAGGCAGAACGAGTGAGTGACCATCTAATGAAAGTTCCACAACATAGAGATCGAACTTAATAAAAATTCCTTGCTATGTGCCAACATTTATAACTGAAAGGAAGTGTGCTAAGCCTGACAAGGCGGTAGTCATGGCCTTGAAGTGCCTTGTCAGTATCTTTATCAAGAGGGTTACTTCACTAATTACAAATAAGCTAGAAATTAAAAAAAGAATATCATCTGCAATGTGGTGATGACGTTTTGACTAAAAATATTGGTTGGTTAAAAAAAAAGTACTTTAGAGAGGGATTCATGATTTCACTTCAATGTTTCTTGTTTGGTGACCGTTTAAAAGGGATTTAAACAATATCAACAAGCCTACAGGACGCAGTCAAAGGCGATCATGACCGTTTGTTAGAGATGAAAACTACATAATTCAAGAGGAAAAAGTTACCGACCGTTTAGTAGAGGGTGACCGTTTAAATACGGTACTGCCCAATTCAAGCTCGACTGTCTACGTCACGTAATGAGTTTTAAAAACATTTCGGAAACAATTTATCGACCACAAATAGAAACTCTTTACCCACCGTCTCGATAGCTGTCACTGTCCATAAGGTGTTTACACGACATGGCTGGATTATCTCTGGTACCTAGAGGAAATTTGTATTTCTCCACCGTAGAAGACACGTATAACAAAGACTTGATGTTTCGTATTGCCTGAGAAGAAAGCAAACAATCATAGTCTGAGAAAAAGAGGAAAATAGCTCAAGAAACACTGAAACTGAGTTAAAGATCTGAAAAATGTATTTACATTCGGCGGAACTAAACTGTAAGTGGCAGTGACAAAGAATGTAAATATTTTCCTATTGGTATGTTAGCACGTGGGCCGCTATGGCATTAATTGAGTCTTATGTTGTTTAGCGTATTTAACGTTTGATATTTGTAATGCATTCATCTCAGCTCTGAAACTTTTCTAGTTTTACGTTAAATTTTATCTTGCATGTAATTAAGCTGTTTTACCTCTAACCCCCAGAGGTTGGTGTGCCTGCATTTGGATGGGGAATACGTTCCCATTTTTCCCATTGGGTTTTTCGGGTTTGCGTATTAGGTGATGGCACAAAAAGGTTTTAGCCCGAGAGGTGATAACTGATTGTTTACTATTCTGTGTAACTTTGTCGGACGGCATTAAATACTCATCAGGCTCCTAGTTCGAGCTGGACACTTACTCTTGTGTATGAGTCGTGAATTTAAATAGGAATTACCTGATCTAAGTCATCATGCTGGGAAAATCTTTGAAACCCCAGCGCCTGACCAGGGGGACCCTAGGGTGAAAAGTGTAAAAAAAAAAAAAAAAGGAGCAAGCAAGAGAATCGACTCAGTTTCTTACTGCAATCTCAATACCTCTTTGTAAATATTACATACGGTGAGGGGAAAAAAGAGACTGAAGGAAGGAGGAGGGAGGGGGGGGGCAGGGTTGATGGAGAAAGATTAATCTCAATCTAGCGAGGAGTCATATACGAAATGACGAAATACGAGTTTCCAACTAATTTAAGCTACTTTCCATTCTCATCAATCAGATTAAATAAAAATCAAGAACTCACCGGTGGACCAAATTCGCCCTAAGGATGGATGAAAAATAGGAAAAAGTTACAGCTCGTATCTAGTCCTTTCAGAGCTTCCATAGTTGTACGTTGTAAGCATGAAACTGGTATCAGTGATGTTATGATGTCTCACACGCAAAGGTCGAATGTACCGACAGAAAGTAACACAAAAGTAAATGGTCCATCGACGAATCGTATACGGCTCTCACTTATAACCAACCAACTGATCTGCAGCTTCTGGGGACCAGCTGTTACAAGCATTTAATTACGCTTAAACGTTGACTAAATTACTGATGAAGATGTTTCCATTCCACATTCAAACTTAGATAAAACAGGCGGAACAATAAAGATTTTGTACAAACTAGGTATAGAGCCAAACGGCAATTTCCGTCTTGTAACATCTTGAGAGCAAAATGCTTAATAAGTATTCTTGTTTCTGACTGAGTTATTAAGGACGCCGCGACAACCTTTCGTACATTGACGAACGTTTCTAATATCATATTTTGTACACATTCACATGCGCAAATTTATTCTCCTAGATGAGTGTTGTGAACAAAAGCAACTACAAAAGCTTTTGAAGAGGCTTACACTTACCGTAATTCCTCCTACTCCCTAAGAAAGAAAAGAAAGCGCGATTAAGGTCTAAAGATCCATGTCATCAAATTAAAAAGTAGAAATACGCAAAGACATACCTTTAAACCTGGAGCTCCCTTGGAGATTCAAACAAAAAAAAAAGAAAAAGGAAATATTTTAAACAAATACAGTTAAGGTGTTATTAAGTATTTTAGTTAACTGATAAAGGCTTACACAGCTTTCAAGTCTAATGTCTTCTACGATCACGCTAAAAAAACAATTGAAATATTGTTGAGACCCATCACTAAATTAGCGAGAAAAGCTTACTCTCCAATAGGGAGAAGCATTTTCTATCAGTTGAAGAAGGACAATAAACATTTACAATAAAGAAGAAATTTCCTCACCGGAATGCCTTTTTCTCCCTGCGACAAAATAAACGCAAACAAAAATGATCAAATAGAACATTGGTAAATTCAACTGAAGAAGGTGAATTCCTACAGAAGGAGAAACATGCCACGACTATGGGACGACCAAATGAATACTTATCAATTAACATCTGACATACATTAACAAATCTCAACTGAGAATGACACTTACCACGTAACCAGTGAGACCCTACAAGCAAGAAAGCAAAGAAAAAGTGAATTATATTTGTGAAGGAGTTGCAGCGCCTTAATTCGCACATATGTCGTCAACCTATGCAAAAAATGGTTTGACCTTAATCGTATAATGTAAGACTAGTCTGAAAAAAGACTGTTGTCGTTGACTTTAACTTCAATTCTACTTCCAGTGTCGGATGCTAACCGTATCCACAATTCATAATATACAGCAGTAAAAACAGGGTAAAAAAAATTCTTCGTATCAGAGACTTCATATCATGATGCGTCATCTTTTACCTGATTTCCTTCTGAGCCTGGGCTGCCTTGAAGACCAGACATTCCAGGATCCCCCTACAATTCACTGCAAATATTAGTTTCCTCACAGGGATATTTCTAATTCTAAAATCGTAGTGACAGAACTTAGGCTAAAATCACCGAAAATGCAGTTGAAAAAAAATTTAAACAAGCAGCAAATAATTAAAACAGTCAAGAGATACATGTTCACAAGTATAAATCTAGCCAATAATTGTAAATTTTACCGTTTGTCCTGCATTGCCAACTCGACCGCGATCTCCAATGACACCAACAGAGCCCTGTCTTCCTTTCAGCCCAACTTCCCCTTTTTTTCCAGGAATACCTCTCTCGCCCTATAAGAGCAAAGAAAAACATTCAAATCAAAGTCTGATGCACGGGTTAGTACTTTCAGCTATGTAAATATCAAAAGCTTACCCTCTCGCCCCACATTCCCGGGTCTCCTTGCGCACCCAGTTCCCCAAACAGTCCCTGTTAAAAAAGACGCATAGGATAGTAAACTGATTATATCGATATCCTCTTTATGGTATGTAATTTCCAGAATTTCTCACCCTAATGGTCAGTGGTGATAAAATATCTACCTCTGCACCTATCGTTCCCGTCTCTCCTATTGGTCCAAGCATTCCTTTTCTTCCCTTTGACAACAACAACAACAACAAAAAAAATAAACAAAACAAAGAAGAACGAAAAAGGAAACAACCTTTACGTGGGTAAGTAGTTCATATCTGTTGTAAGAAGTAGTTCAATCAACGTTTGTTCTTCCTGAAGATAGTTTTGCCTTAGTTTAAAACAACTAAAGGAAAATAAAATATTTAAAAATGAAAAAAGTGTAGTCAGGAGATGTCATGAGTTTTATGGAAATTGGTTGCCTCTGACTGTTGTTATTTCTGAAACAGACGCTTCGGCTAATGCTTAAGCCTTCAACAGTGATATGAAAAAACGAGATCGTTATCATACGCTATTTAAAGTTAAAAACGTGACGCGAAGCTTGCGCGCGTAACTATGTATTTGATGCTCGCGCGAGGTCTTTATAGGCTTCTGGAAGTACGATGTGATCGTTCCCAGCATTCGGATCCAAAGTAGAGTGCCAGGCCTCAAGGAAAAGTCCCTCGTGGTAATAAGATTCGAAACCAACGACCCTGACGTTTGTAAAGTCCATGTTATGATCGAAAAGGTGGACATGGCTTGCGACTTTAAGTACTATGGCCAAACAGAAAGGTCATTAAAGACCAGAATTGCGGAGTACAAAAAGGCAGTTGCAGGTTTTGACTTAAACTCCAAAGTCGCAAGCCATGTCCACCTTTTCGACCATAACATGGACTTTACAAACGTCAGGGTCGTTGGTTTCGAATCTTATTACCACGAGGGACTTTTCCTTGAGGCCTGGCACTCTACTTTGGATCCGAATGCTGGGAACGATCACATCGTAGTTCCAGAAGCCTATACAGACCTCGCGCGAGCATCATATACTTAGTTACGCGCGCAAGCTTCGCGTCACGTTTTATAACTTTAAATAACGTATGATATCGATCTTCGTTTTTTCATATCACTGATGAAGGCTTAAGCATTAGCCAAAACGTCTGTTTCAGAAATAACAACAGTCAGAGGCAACCAATTTCCATAAAACTCAAGATAAAATATGTCAAAATATACAAAACTTTCCCAAAAAAATTACCTGTTGCCCAAGGGAACCTTGCATTCCTCTCAATCCAAGTGGGCCAACGCTTCCCTAAAATTGAAATGAATGGCCAAACATACAGAGAAATTTTTATACCGTTGTCGTTTATAATAATCTTTCACAGTTAACTATGGAACAACACGACAGAACTTAATCGATTTTTATTAGAGGTAAAAATATGTCACTTGTGAAGTTTTGTAGCCTTGGGCTTTCGTATGGCATAGTTGGACTTACCGAAGAGTGTTTCACAGCATATCAGCGCCGAAAAACTACATTTCTAAGACTGACACATTATTCGCTAATCGTCCGTGAGTATACCTCTGGCCCTGATTGTCCGGAAGATCCCAAACTTCCTTGGTCGCCCCTCTCTCCCTGAAATATGATGAATGCACTTATATGAATATCAGTGACGGGACGTACTACTGCTTTTCGTCCACAATAAAATAACAGTTGGTTTCGTTAATATGGCGTGGATAAAGAGCTTTTCTCAGCTACTTGCCATCTCAATAACCGATCCACCCTGCTACAATGTTTTCCCCACACATCCTCAAAACATTTCTTCTCTAGCAGATCTAGGTGAATTTTTACGTATCTTTCCCTATGGCCTGGAAACATGTTCCTCTTAGAGCCTGAGGCCTGAGAGTAGAGCTCGATGCAACTGCTTCTGAAGGAAAGAAAAGCGCTAGCGAGGAGAAATTTCAAGTTATCATTGCGAATGTCACCAAAAAGCCATGATGTCACGGGTGGTTCGCGTTTTTCACAATCAGGCCTTCAGCTTCAGTAAGACGCAAACGGGTTAACCTACATATTTTTATGCGATACGTTTTCTTCTTATGTGAACAGCAAATTATTTTTCTCAACTGAACGGCCCTGTTATGAGACTTAGTTGACGTACTCGCCAACACAACACAACACAACACAACACAATATCGCCTGTCTGGATTACAACAGTGAACCCTTAACGGGAAATTAAACACTCAAAGACCATGCAAAATATATGAGATGGTACCTTTTCACCTTTATTTCCATAATCCCCTCCTCTACCTGAGTTTCCTTTACCCCCCTGAATTAAAAAAAATTGACTGTCGGTAAGTTAACAAGGAATCTCTCATGAGATACAATGAATATACGAAGTTCATATATTTTGAGCTGCGGTAGTAGATACGTATGATGCACGATCCTCGCAGTAGAGAGCGCTATTTATGCAATAGCGAAAATCAGACCTGAAAAAAATCAGGCCTGTACCGGATTCGAACCACTGACCTCTGCGATACTAGTGCAGCGCTCTACCAATTGAGCTAACAAGCCAACTGGGAGCAGGCCGTTAAGTTGATTCGTAATAAACCCGTGATGATAAATCAGATACAATGAATTCATTGTATCTGATTTATCATCACGGGTTTATTACGAATCAACTTAAAGGCCTGCTCCCAGTTGGCTTGTTAGCTCAATTGGTAGAGCGCTGCACTAGTATCGCAGAGGTCAGTGGTTCGAATCCCGTACAGGCCTGATTTTTTTCAGGTCTGATTTTCGCTATTGCATAAATAGCGCTCTCTACTGCGAGGATCGTGCATCATACGAATCTCTCATGTTTAGCAGGCAAAGAACTTGACAGACAAGAACAAAAAAAAATGTGAAGTGGAAATGCTTACTGGTGGTCCTTCCCTCCCTGACTCTCCACTTTGTCCTTTAGATCCACGATGACCCTAACATTGCAAATCAACAATCTTGTCAGTAAAAGCAAACTATATCACAACCGAAAGATTGAACTCAAACTACCTTGAGTCCTGGTGAGCCATTCTTGCCTTCCTTTCCCTTTTTTCCCTGCTTACCCTGAAAATAAATATCAAAATAGAATGGTCCACGGATGCATGGTCTATGAAAAGGGCGACACTTTCCTTGTTACTACCATCGTTTGTACTTTTAAAACAAGTCATTAATAAAAAACTTGGTGGGTTAGCAATTTAACTATAAAGGAAAAATGTGATGAATGTAAGCAAAATACCACTCCTCCAGGATCGCCAATACGTCCACCTTCACCGGGATGGCCTGTAAGTCCCTGTAAACATAAAAATGTTAAACAGATGTGGTGGTTAGTATTGTGCACATTTATAAACTGGAAATTGATTAGTTCTGCCTACCCCGAGACCAATGACTCCAGTATCTCCAGGAGTGCCTGGGGCTCCAGGTAAGCCCTGCAAATGAAAGTAAAGTAGTAAACATAAACTAGTCTTTACTTCATTATTTTTTAATTTGTCATCGCACTTTGTTCAAGCTTTCCTAACGCCTACCCTGTTTGTAAACACATTGTCACCCAACTAGCGCGATGGTCTCGTGTGAGAGAGGCTTTCCCCCTACCTCCCCATGCTAAGTAGTACTAATGCGTTCACTACAAATGATCAAACTGAAGTCCACGCGGCCGACTTTCAAAATTTACAAGTCGAATTTTCCGTTCCTTTCCCACCGCGTAAGACCTTCTGGAGCTCATGATGAAAAGTGAATGGGCTATCGAATACACTGTTGGAAAATTAAAGATTTTGGGTCAAAACGTACAACTTTCAAAATTTTCGACTTAGCGCTACGCAATTCTTCTAAGCATGGAGAATTCTAGTGACCCACTGCGCGGGTTTAGTACAGTTCGTACGTTTTTCGCTTCTAACAGTCCATCAGGAAATTTTTTGAATAAAGCGTTTGTCTCGAAATATTTCTTGGTCATTTTAGTAAAGTAAGTAAAGCTTTATTCACACAGGGTAGCCCATTCAGCTCTAAGGCTGGTATCCATAGGGGCCCTGTTTCTTAAAAATAATTTACATCAAGATTTTCAATTTTATGTATATATATGACTAGAATTTTAAAACTACATTAACAGCCTAAAACTACAAAGCCAAAACACAATTAAGACCTAAAATAGTAGATAAAATATCAAAGTTAAGATAAAAAGAAATGTCTTGCTCGGCGGCAGAACGTTTGAATGTTTTCACTCTTCACAATGTGCACGAACTGCTTTTTTCCCGTGAAGTAGTTCTTAAACTATGGAAGGCTTTCGTCACATATACCATAATACTCTAATTTTCTAAGCAAAATGTCATGGTCAACTGTGTCGAAAGCCTTTGCCAGGTCAATAAACACAGAACCAGTAACTAAGCCCTTATCCATATTCATGAGAATCTCGTCGATGAAATAAGTTACAGCCGTCTCAGTTAAGTGCATTCTTCTAAAACCGGATTGTTGTTTACAGAGCAAGTTATGATCGTCAAAAAAACTTGCAAGTTGCTTGTGGATTAAACGTTCTAGGACTTTAGATACCACTGGTAATACGGATATGGGGCGGTAGTTTCTAGGGTCATCTTTTGAACCCGATTTATGCAGAGGGTCACTTTCGCTTTTTTCCATTCAGCAGGGATAACGTTTTGTTGGATAGTTAAATTAAAAATGACCGACAATGGAGAAGCCAGGGCGTCTGATCCGTCTTTCAGTAGACGAGATGGAATACCATCAACACCTCTCGCTTTCTTCGATTTTAAATCTTTAAGAGCCTTACTAACCTCCGATACAGTGATCTTTCGTAGATTAAATTTTTCTGGACGATCAATTTGCGGCAGCCATTTGGAAAAGGATCGCGCGCTTGATCGGTGGATTGACCTTAAATCTTCGGCACAAGAGACAAAGAAGCGATTAAAAAAGTGTTACACTTGTCTTTTGCTTCATTTGCCGTACGAGCAACAGCGCTGTTACTCTTTGAGCCATTTCCGAGTAGTTGTTTTAGGTTTGTCCAGGTCCCACGGGAATCTCCTCTTGTCTCCCGGAACTGTTCATCATAATATCTATGTATCTTTTCGTCTTGCGTCTTATTCAGGTAACATGTGATCCTCAGGCGTGTTAGGACATATGCGTAAAATTTCAGCGATTTTTCTATTTCACCTTGATTTCTGAGTAAAACTTGATATGCGTTTATCGTATTTTTCTTTGAAAATAGGTAATTTAAATGGTCTGCTTTCATCGGAGCTTGTTTTTGGGAAAAGATCTTTTCAGAAAAAATTAGGGCGCGCTGTGTTTCTTTTTCCCGTTTCCCCATGACATATTAGTCTCATTTTCCTCTTGTTTTTCATGGAGACAAATTGTCCACGAATTTTTCTTTTTCGGTTTTAACCAAAGGCAGCATGGTCAGACCAATTTGACCCCTAGATTATGGGGGTAAACATCCTTTCACCAAGGCTAGCCTCTCGCGTGATCATAGCGGAAGACGAGTTTTTCCACCCACTCGCGAGCATGCATGATTGTGGCGTGTGCGCAGCTCGAATGCGCAGTGGCGATAGCAGGCAACGTTCTTAAAACGTATGAAGTGAAAGAATTACTCCTAATACGGAGTAGTACTGTGGGGAGCGTGTTGTAACTCAAATTTACTTGATTCAATTGAAAGACTTCATTGTAGAGCATCTCGAATGATTTTTAACTTACCAAGAGACATGCCTTCAAAAGAGGTGCTGGCCTATGATCGGTGGCCCACTATTTATTTATTTTATAAAATAGACATTCTTAAGATCTTTTTTAAAGCACAAAATGGTGGCTTGCCTAAATTGTTGCCTAATAATATTTACATAGAAAGGAGTAATGCATATTCACTACGGGGTGGAGACTGCTTATCAGTACCAAGATTCGAAACTAGATTTATGAAGGATTCGCTGGCTTACAGAGGCACCGTTCTGTGGAATACGATTTCTCTTAGTGAGAACGGAACATCGCATCTGAGCAACAAAGATCTATATCTGATAAGAACAAAAGATTACTTCAAGGATTTTAAATTCGAGACTACCTCCGTCTCGACAACGCGGCCTAGAAATGCAGATTTTATATATAATTGACGATTATTTATGAACACTTTAGTGATATTTTACCCATTCAGTAATGATTTCATCTCGTAAAAAATAAATTTAATGTATAATTCGTAATGCTTTAGTTACTAATCTTGTCAATATTTTGACATTTTATTTACATTAGGATTTATGTTTTTAATTATAAATACACGACCCCACAAGCTTGTAGCTTTAAATTTTTTATCGTGTTTAATTAAAGGTCATCCATCCATCCATCAAAACAGACAGTCGGAACTTTACCTGACCTCCCGTTGAGCCTCTCTGACCTCTTTGCCCAAGTGGCCCTGCAAATGCCTGAAAGAAAAAGAACTCACTTTTGCAAATTTACTTTGAATATAATTCTTTCATTTTCTTTGCTTGCATAGGACCGCCTAGTCTAATTAACAAACAGAGTCCAAGTTGAGGTGAACCTGATCGATAATAGATCACAGATAACCGATAAAAATGTGGTAACAATTAAAAAAGTGACACACAAGTTACAGCCGAGTGTGTCATTATTAATCTTACTACACTTTGATGTCATCTATGATCTATTACTGTACAGACCCACGGCAACATGGAATCCATTTGCTTTACAGGACAAAAAACAAAAAAAAACAAAATTGTGTCTCATTGCGCCTCATCTCTGAGTCTGTCCTCCAATGGATAATAAGAACCTATTAAAATTCGTGTTTAATTCGAATTATCGTCTAAAGGCATTTAGTTTATCTGCGCATCGTTAGAAAGCAAAAATCAAATTGAAATCCGTGGCCATTTTGATGGGGTTGTAATAATCAGTTACTTATCTACCGGTACTCCGGGCACGCCAAGATCACCAGGCAATCCTTTCTCACCAGGGGGACCCTAGCATAGGAAAGATCCAAAGAGATTAGAAGGCACGGTTGCTCAAACACAGTAAAGAAAGTGTAAGTAGCAACGTGAAGACTGAGACAGTTTGGCCACAAGGGATCAGTTTCTGTAATTTCTTTCCAGCAAAACATTGTCAGAGGAAACCTTCAAACTTGGCCAACGGCGAAGACTTACCACTCTTCCGTTTCTTCCAGGAAATCCTCTGTCTCCCTTGTCTCCGTCTTCTCCCTAAGAATAAATGACATACGCAGTAAGTCAGTTTGAAATTCAGACAAACATAATGTTCCTTTTACCACAGTACTGTCCATTTCTCCAGATGATTACTTTACAACATGACAAGAAATTTTTTTTTTCGCTCACCGTCTCCCCAATTTCACCCTCTTCTCCTATTTCTCCACGAGCACCACTCTCACTATTCTAGAAGAGAACGAAACCAAAGCTAATGCTGTGGAAAGCTCAACTAAAAGAATGTACTGTACAATTACCTACATGGTTGCAACAGTAATAAGTTTCGAAATTTCCTGATTTTTCCCTGGCAAACGTTACCATCTTTTATCATGAAAAGGGCCACGACAAGATGAACGACTATACGTTGATTTGAAATTTCACTCTTCCCTGACTTCTTATAAAGATGTAAATTTTCCTTGACTAATCCTGACTTTCTCTAACTTTCCCCTGATTTTGAAGAAATCTATTTTCCCTGACTTCCCCGACCTGTGGCAACCATGTATCTTTTACAGGAAGATCACCAAGTATTAGAAAGTATCCGTTTATAGTTTTGTTTGAACTCTTAATCTAAGTTTGTTTGCGATACTCAATAAGTATTCTATTAAAAATTATTTATTTCATCTTTACATTCTATTAAAAATTGTTTAAAGTAAGTATTGTCTGATTTAATCTTGCTTTAGCATTAGAAACTAGACATTTGTCTCTGCACCAAGGACATAATTTTCTCAAATAGTTTTTAAACATAATAACATGGCAGATACCTACCACTGGGCCCATGTCACCGGTAGCACCCGGATGTCCTCGTAATCCTGGTGCTCCCTATCAAAACACGGTAATAGATAGGTATTACGTACTTATTTGGGGGTTATGTGCAGTGCCAACTGAACTGATCGTACAAAGTTAACCAATATAAACACTTCATCTGTCACCTTTAATGTTTGTTCCTCCAAATCGTTTTTGAAGTACCAGTAAGTGTTGGTGTGCCTACTACTAACGGTACAGTCTCCGTTCGCATCGCGAATTTTGGCCAATTCAATCACTACCTCTTTATTCTTGGACACTTTTCAGTGATCGTTAGAGAGATCTTCCTAACTAACTTGACGACACACGACATTACATAACACGTTTACCTGCAGAAATCTCATCTTATTATCTTTAATGTTTTAGTAATCACTTTCTTGCCTTAACTACAGCATTACAATGGTCAATTTTTGCCAATTCACAAAATTGTATCAACATAAACATACCTCCGGTCCCTTTACTCCAGGATCTCCCCATAAACCAGGAATGCCGTCCTCGCCCTTTGGAAGAAACATCAAGAAAAACAAGAAGTCTGTGTAAGTATAATTTTGAATCTATGTATTTTTATTTTTCTACGACAAGAGGAACAGCAACAACCTAACCTTTGATCCTTTCATTCCCTGCACGCCGCGTAAACCAAGAAGTCCCGGTTGGCCCTAAGGCGAAAGAACGATGCCAAATCAAACGCTCAGTCCACGGTTTACCCGTAGACTAAAACAAACTAAGGCTAATTCGTGAAAGATCGATGACAATGTATTACCTCTTTACCCAGATTTCCATGAACTCCTATAACTCCCATTTCTCCAACACTTCCCTTTTTAGTGATAAAATTCAGAGGTGAAAAGAATGAACAACAACAACAACAACAATAACAACAAAACAACTAACACAAACTAAACAAAACAATCCAAAAGAAAAGTCAATCAAAAGAAGCAGTGTGATTTTGGAAAACTTCTTACTTTTGGCCCTTGATCTCCTTGAGGCCCTTTTGGTCCTGGTGCACCACTCTCACCCTGACAGAAAACCAAAACAAATATACTTTGTTTTGTCTTATAGATGATGAAAACACTATCTCTATTTAGACAGGAAAGCAATAACTCTATTCATGAGACTTTTACATATGCCGATCAATTCGTAACACTAACCTCTTCAGGAGGAATAGCGATACAAATGTTGATAACAAAGGATGAGTCATCTCTTCACGGGTTTAATACAAACAAATATAATGTATGGCTCCCTGTTGGCTTGTTGGCTCAGTTGGTAGAACACTGCACCGGTATCGCAAAGGTCATGGGTTCAAATCCCCTACGTGACTGAATTTTTTTTTCAGGCCTTATTTTCACTACTACTTAAGCAGCGTTCAGTATTGCGAGGGTCACTTTCATGCATAACAAAGGATTTTTAACACGTTTGAATACCAAAAGAAGTAAACATTGAATTAAAAAATGACAATTACGGAAATGGCAAAGATCAGCTACGACTTCATTCCTTTCAACAATAAATCTTAAATAAAACCCTACAGGAAAATAGCGGAAAAAATCTCTTGTTAACAGCATATGGAAATGTTTCTGTTCTGGCACATAGACGGTTTAGAGACGAAGGCAAGATCTTAAATTTCGCCGTTTACCGTAGATGCTCGATTCCCACAATATTGAATTTCTGAACTATACCTTGAAACCTTTTGTTCCCTCGCCTCCTACCAAGCCAGGCGGTCCTGGTGCACCCTATCAGTAACAAGATATCCTCAGTTTTAACACTATATTAATGCAAGACTATAAATACATATAACGACCACAAAAGGAATGGATAAAAAAGACAGCTATGACGATAGGCGATCTACACGAAGATAATTTAACCTCGAAGAAATCAAGCAAACTTCCAACAGCATATATCAACGACAGCTACAAGACTGCTTAAAACTTACGGCCACAAGGTGTATCTCAATCAATAATTTGCACTCCTGTACTCAGTACACAGAAGGCAACTGGTTACTTACAAAAGGTCCCTGGCTTCCCGGTGGACCTTTCTGTCCAGCCAAACCACTGCCTCCCTATTAAGAGATAAAAGCATTGAATCCACTTAGACAAGACACCGAAGATTATATATGTTTGCGTGGGAGATAGAAGATTACTTCTGATCTACACCAATTTTAAGAACATACCTTTCCACCGGTAGTTCCAGGCAGTCCTGGGAAGCCTTGTGGCCCATCGTTTCCCTTAAAAAATAGATATTTTTTTAAAAGTTAAGGAGTAATCGTTTTAACGCCACGCTAAACAGCGTATCTGTAGATTCCAATATAACTGACCTGTTCTCCTTCAGTCCCATCCAAGCCAGATTTTCCCAATAGTCCAGGTGGACCCTACGATCATGGATCTATAGTCAATATTGATAGTTACAGTATTACAACGATTGTCTGATGACTCAACTAATAAACCTTTGACTAGTGGTTGTTTATCTAAAAAATTGACCTGCCGATCAAAAAACCAACTGTTTACGAAAGAAAGCACGCAACATTAAGACGGCATATGAAGCTTACCGCAAAGGGAAAGTTGTTTACCTGAGGTCCAGCAATGCCCATAACCCCTTGTATCCCTCCTGAACCTTTAACACCCTATAAAATACCGTCGGTAAATCATAATCAAGGAAAATTATGATTCTCCCTCTCTCCTACGAAATAACATGTGACTTTTTATTCAGGAATATATGGATGCAAATACCTATTATTACACGACTCGGGCAGTCAGAGGGCCAATAACTAAAATCAACCAATCAAAATGCTCTATTGCCGGTCAATATTCTCTCAGTATTGGACCGGGCACTGTCCCGAATGGTCCCGAATGATACCGCACTTGTGTCCCTTTGAACTTCAGTCGTATAATAAATCTCTTATTAACCAAGCTTGCTCGGAACCGTACTGGAAGAATATCGGAATACCGTACTGGAAAAATATCGGAATACCGTACTGGAAGAATATCGGAATACCGTACTGGAAGAATAACGGACCTCCAGCGTAGCGAGGTCCGTACTGTCAAGACCTCGGGCCGATATTGTCCCAGTACGGCCCTCGCGCTTGGTTAATAAGATATGAATATTAATAAGACATGAATATTCTTTCATTAAACCCCTGAAGAGTGAAGCGATTCACGAAACAGGCTTGTCGGGAAATGTAGTTACGTCCTTTTTTCCTCTCATAATATATATCTAAGTTATGTATCTTAATGCATGGCTTAGAAGAGTTTTGGGAGTTTTCTTTTTCTTCATAAAGGTTAATTTCCATAATGAGAAACTCTAGAATCCAACGGATAACAAGGCAGCAACGTAAAAATCAGTATTTTTACTCACTGGGTCACCAACGAGCCCTTCACCCCCTTCAACACCATGTGGCCCCTGCAAAAAATAACTTCGAACATCGATTCAAAATTCTTCAAGAAAAAAAGAAGATCCGTCAGTCCTATACAGACAAGTACTTTCACTCGAGGCTTCACCTCGATTAGTTCATGCGTTAGTGTACGCTCATCGAGATCTGACAGCACGCAGGAGGTTTGGGGTGTACGAAATATGCGTAAGAGTTGTTCGAGGCGTGGCCGAGAGCATCTCTCGCAAGAGCTCTCCAAACTTCCTATGAGATTCATATCACGATGAACATAACGTGATGCATCAGTGAACCGATCCTTAGGTGAGATCTCGTCGGTATGATTTGTAATCTGGTACTGATTTACCCAACTTTATTACGAACGAATCTAAGTGTTAAATGTCTCCCAGATTTCAAAGCATTGACCCAGTAGCCGACGTACTAACTCTGACTACTTTCACAGCGTATTCTCCAGCCGTGATACGCTACAGACATGTTTGTAAATGAAGGTGCTTTTCCGTATACACTGTAATAATTTCAGGGAATTCAAATCCTGTGATGTGGATTCAACTAAGGTCGATTCTAGGAAAGTATTTAGAGACTGCATGTTTCTATAAAACCTCTTGACTCATTTACCAGTATAGTCAAATTACATGATTAACACATTTTAATGAGCTTACAGAAACCTGGAAGGGAGTCCAAAAACATTATGCATTTGCAAGTCGGACTCTTCTTTATCTTTTCTCCCTAGGAAAGACAAGTGAAGACAAGTTAAGCATTAAGAGAGACAGGCCCGAGAGGAGAAAAGAGCAGAAGAGTCCGACTGCCTCTTTACATGAGCTGCCACAGGAAGATGTTGGCTTTGAATCATACAATCTGCTCCTTTTAAAGATCTACCAAATGACGAAAAAGAAGAACAAATTTAAATGAAGACCAGATCTTATTTAATGTAGTATCTAAGTAATTAATCATTTCCTTTGGTAAAAAACCTTTAAGAGGACTCTTGTGGCAGCTAACATGAAAAGAGATGTTACTTTTGCGACGACTTATAAGTGTGGGATTTGACAAAAGTAACTGTCGGAACAGAAATTGTAGAGGAGGAAAGCCAAAGCTGACCTGAACCATCCACGAACATACTATAATCAGGTTTTATTACTTTAGGTATCAGAGGGATACCCTTCATTAAAAAGGGCTAATATGACAATCCCCACTACATTAGCTGTTGCAAAGCAAAGAACGAGTAGTTCCTATGCTTTCGCATCCATTCTTACAGGCCTCTAGCTTAATATTTCCAGTTATTTATAAGTTAGTTACTTTCTCACCGTAATTCCATCTGTGCCTTTAATTCCAGGATGACCAGCAGCGCCCTACCAAGAGGCAGTCACAAACAGTTACAACCACAGTGTAACATACTGTCCTCATAATTATCCATCAAATATCATTTAAAGTAGTTACGTCTAAAATAACGCGTGACAACCTCTTGCTACCTACGAGCTGTAATAACTATATATAAACACTCCACATACAACAATTCCCGATATCTTACCTGCCTTCCGGGCTCTCCGATTTCTCCACGACTTCCCTTTGGCCCTGATTCACCCTAACGTAAAAATATGTAGATAACTTTTTTTAACCTCAACTGCGTTTTTAACTTTTTCGAGTGAAACTAGAAAACAGCAGAGTTATAATTACTTAAGCAAAGGCATAGAAATGAAGGGGACACTAAATAAAGAAGTATACACGAAGTAAGACAGATCTAGTGATACATATACGTTCCTCTGAAAGGTGGAATACTATAAGGTAATTTGTGTAATGTCACCTGTAATCCTTGAGGCCCGGCTTCTCCTACTGATCCAGGAATTCCAGCCGGACCCTATTGATACAAAATTTTCAGCAAACGAAATTACTTGTTAAATAAATAAAGGGGGTAAGTTTCTGAAGAAACTGTGGTACTGCGTCGGTGGGGGAGTATAACAAGATAATTTGGTTTTATCAGCTGAGTTAATAATGTAAGTTGGCCACCGTAAAGAGTTTCAAAGGTAAGCTTTGAAACTCTTCACGGTAACCAATTTACATCATCAACTCAGTTGATAAAACCAAATTGTCTTGCCACTAAAACACTCCATCAGAAATATGCGTAACTGTGTGAATCTAATTCGGAACGCTCTAGCACAGTCCCATTCAGGCACCAGACAGTCACTATTTTTCAATTGATGAACGGCATACATGTTTCAAGACCTCAGTCCTAGCTAGTGGAATTCAGACGTTCGAGATCCAGCAATTGGCATAAAAAATTTCTCACATCCTCTCCTTTTGGGCCTTGTGCTCCCTGATCTCCAGGCTTTCCTTCGATACCCTGTGGACATCATAAAAAACAACAAAATAAAAATGAAAAAATGGCATAGCTCGCTTTAAGTCGCTACAAAATTCAGGCGACAGTACAAAATTATTGTTCATTGTACAAAACAAATAAATTCCATTTTAACCATGAGTCTGTAGACTACGAGCAGTCCCACCTCATGCACCTCACTCTTACAGTTCCGCACCGTGCGCTAACATAAATTTTTTCAACTGATCTTTTTTAAAGCGAAAAGGAGGGACTGCTCGTAGTCTAATGAGTCTGATGAAGCTAGAACAAGGTAGAAACATCTTCGACACACTCGGCTATGGGGTTTTATCGGTTTTTACAACATTTCCAGTTCATCTAATGCCGAACAAACGGCGGAAAGCAATCTATTTGCTACTTTGAACAGGTTTGTACAGGTTCCTAGGTACTATTAACTCACCACAGGCCCTGGTTTTCCTATTACGCCAAGTGTACCATTGGGACCACGACGACCCTGAAATCAAATGTGCAAACCATAAGGTTAGTGATACACAGTAAGTATAATTCAATAATAAAGCAACATAACTGAATTCGATTTGTTGATTTCAAAATTTTGCAATCAGATTCTTGGAACTAACAGAAAGTTTAAACTCAGTACCGGAGGTCCTCTTGGTCCAGGACTACCAATAACTCCTTGAACACCTGTTGTTCCCTGGCAAAAAAAAAAAAAAAATCCCAAGTCATACAAGAGTTGACATTAAGAAGTAGTGACATGATATTGAGGAACAACTTATACCACTTCTAATTGTTACCTCTCCTCCTTTCCTGTCTATTACTTCGCAAGGATTTGGGTCATAGTTTGGAGACAATTTGTTAGTCTTCGAGTTCTTCAGGAGTACTTTATCTCCAACCTCCACTTCACTTGCAACAGCAATTCTCTTTGCATCAACATACTCTTTCTGTGATAACTTCCTTGACCAGTCTCGATCGCGGACTTCCTCATTAGTGATAGGTGCCTCCCTTCGCAAGTCTGGCAACTTTGACCGCATTTCCCTTCCAAACATCAGGTAGAAGGGTGTTGCCCCAGTTGTCATCTGAGGAGTTGACCTATATGCGGTTAGGAACGTCTGTAACTCTTGACGCCAATCTTTCCCCTCAATGTGAGCTATCTGGACTGACTTCATCAATGTGCGATTCTGACGCTCTACTTCCCCATTGGCCTGCGGCCACAGGGGAGTTGTTGTGCGGTGTTCTATCCCATTTTCTGCAAGGAAGGCNATAAAGCAACATAACTGAATTCGATTTGTTGATTTCAAAATTTTGCAATCAGATTCTTGGAACTAACAGAAAGTTTAAACTCAGTACCGGAGGTCCTCTTGGTCCAGGACTACCAATAACTCCTTGAACACCTGTTGTTCCCTGGCAAAAAAAAAAAAAAAAATCCAAGTCATACAAGAGTTGACATTAAGAAGTAGTGACATGATATTGAGGAACAACTTATACCCTTTTTAAATCTGAACTCTTATATCGTTACCAGAAATAAGACTGCAAGTAACGGGGGTAAAACAATAGAAATGAAATTCTTTGTATTCTAAGGTATTTTAATATTTAAAGGACTCAAGCAATGAGGTTTTTAAGTATGATTAAAGAACGTATGGCTCAGAATATTTGGTGTAAAGATATATCCTGACTTCCGGCTGTTGTTAGATTTTAGGGGCAGTGAAATGCAATTGAAACTTATAGGGTGTAATTCTTCAAAGTGACGAAAATATATCTTATCATCAGGCGTTAAAAATTCTGTTTTTGTTTTTTTATTTTTAAGCACTTCACAAAATCATCATCGTTTGGTCTCACACTAATAAGTTACTTCTTTGCCAACATACCAGTTGACCCTGTGGTCCTGGTTCTCCAATCCTTCCAGATGATCCCTGAAAGCAAATACGTTCATACTAAAAAACTGCACATACATAAATTAAGTAAGGACGTGAAAGGAGAAATTTGTATTCTACAAAATCTAGCACAAATATTTTACCTTATCACCATTTGAACCATTGTAGCCCCTTCTACCTTTCTTCCCAGAGTCTCCCTACGCAAATGGTAGAAAACATGATAAACGCTTATAAGTAAAGGCTGTGTTGTTAGTTTGCTCTCCATCAAGTCTAAATGTGGCGGCTTGCTCCGCTGTTAATGCAGTCATTTCCATGATCATATAGTGCTAGCCAAACACCCTAAATTTGACATATTCAATGTAGCAGATTCCCGTGAGCCCTTTATGTTCAGATTACCACACGAGCTAGCACACTGTTACCAAAGAAATTAATGATTATAGCAATTTTCATATTCCATGTAGCAGATTCCCATGAGCCCTTTACGTTCATATTACCACACGTGCTAGCGCACTGTTAACCAAAGAAATTAATGATAATAGCAATTTTCATATTCAATGTGGCAGATTCCCGCGAGCCCTTTATATTCATATTACCACACGTGCTAGCACATTATTAACCAAAGAAATTAATGTGTTTCCTCTAATGAACAAACTTACTCTTACTCCACGTTTTCCACGGAAACCACTGCGACCATTGTCCCCCTAGACATGGTAATTTATTTCCATCAGTAGTGGTTTTTTATCACAATTTCAAATTACGCTTTTTAAACACAATTTACAAGACAGATAGAACACAAAAAAAATGTAAGAAAGCCTACATACTACACCTTATCTCCCTTGTTTCCTTTAGGACCATAAAATCCAAGTTCACCAGAAGGACCCTTCACAGAAAATTATCCGTTTTTAGGTCATAGATAAATTAAATGTATCTATGACCTAATAATATGACAACAAAACTGATATGTGTTTGACCATGTAGCGGTAAAATTCTGTTACGTGTAACCGTTTAAACTAACAGAAAAATCGAGGTACGAGTGAATACTTCACAACTCGGACATTAAACAAGGTGTTATAATTGCTTCCTTGACAGTTGAAGGGATTTCAAACGAATGAAAGTTTATTTACAATTCAAAATGTAAAGCTGAGCAAACTCACAATTCAAGATCAGAAGCTAATGTAAAGTAAAAATTACTCACCACAATGCCTTTTTGGCCAGGAGTTCCAGGTTTTCCTAGCTTTCCAGGCATTCCCTGAAGGCATTACATATATAGCATTCTTGTATGGCAAGGTAAATCTGAGCATTTTGATTGGTTCTTACTTGGTTTGTATTTTGCAATATAGACCATTTCCACAGAAACCGTCATAAGCCGTGTATTTTGGTCACGAAAGCCGGCAAATTCAAAATGAACTTGTTCGGTCCGAGTGCTACATAATAAACTACTCATTAACCTGCTTGCTCGCGTCCTTCTGGGGTCAGTACTCTTGGTCCGTACTGCCACAACCAATATTTCCCTGTACGGCCCTCACGCTCAGTTAGTAAGAAGGTACTATTGAATTGCTTTTTTTGTGTGTTCCAAAGAAATTTCATCAATCCTCCAAATCTATAGCTATTTACAAACTCTTTATATACGCATCAACACAAATCAAATGAACAAAAGTTTTCACACGTAACAATGCTAACGTTGTGCTACTTGCATCCATGACGTGCAAAACACTACACCAACCAAATACAGAGAATTTCAATTGTATGCCCCCAATACGTTGAGCTGTGTCCAATAAGGCACAATGTGCAAAAGTGTACTTGAGTTAATACTGACCCACACATTGGACTGAAAGTGAATGAATTCAGACTTAGTCTACCTACCTTGTGACCAGGAAGTCCTGTGGAACCTTTGTGCCCAGGATCTCCAGGAGGACCCTGTATACAAAAGGTTACAACATTCCTCAACATCAGAAATCCTGTTTTTGCATGTTACATATTTTTCACATTCCCAGGATGGGTGACTTGCTTACTAACATTTGCTCCTGAAGGACCATGTGCACCTCTGGATCCCACATGACCTTGAATGCCCTGCAAGAGATGATAATAATAAAAAAAAGCACTTAAAATAGTGAAATATTAGATGAAGTGCAATCAAGTCTCTGTCTGAGGGTAAGATTACCTTGGAATGACAGACACATGGAACAATTTAAAATGATATTAAAAAAAGTAAAAAGTTGTTAGATTTGTCTCAAGATAAAGTCATCCCAGCCTCAATACAGTTCAACAGCTTGTCCATTTGAGGCTGGACGGACAACTATCCAAACATTAGGGTGTACTAGCAATTTACTGCATGAAATTTAAATGCATGAACAAAATTTAAACAAGTTAAAACAATTAAGAACTTAATAAAAACAAACTCAGTGAAAAGGTAAATTAACTCAGGTCAATTATCCTCTTTAGAATCCCAATCAGTCACAAAAATAATAAGAACAAAAGTCATGACCACATTTGAGGATGCGTGAAGTATTTTTTTATGTACAGTACAGTAATAATGTTTGCACAAAATTGACCACATGTTTTGCAATTGAAGATGAAAGGCCAATGGTGTAAGGTTAAAAATGCAAAATTCTTACCTTGTGGCCTTTTTTACCCTCCTCTCCTTTTGGGCCAACTGGACCTGTATTTCCCTAGGATAGAATGGTTGCTTTTAAAACATTAAATCCCTTCATGCCCCAGAATTATACCTTTGAAAAAGATATGTTCTCAAAAAGAAATGGTCTTTCCTAATCAGAAAGTAAAAACAATATTTTTGTAGGACATCATGAAGAATGACTACACATTAAACACATCCCAAATGCACAAAAAAGCCACGAGTATAAGACGAATGAAAATATTTACTCATAGGAAAGCCATTATTGACTTCAACATCATGGAGATCTATGGTCCCTAGCTATGTAAATATATCTTATTAACCAAGTGCGAGGGCCATACTGGGAGAATATCGGCCCCAGGTCTTGACACTACGGACCTCGCTGCGCTTGGTCCGTACAAAAAAGACTGAGGGCCGATGTTCTTCCAGTATGGTCCCGAGCAAGCTTGGTTAATAAGAGATTTATTATACGACTGAAGTTCAAAGGGACACAAGTGTGGTATCATTCAGGACAGTGCCCAGTCCAATACTTAGAGAATATTGGACCGGCAATAGAGCATATTGATTGGTTGATTTTAGTTATTGGCCCTCTGACTGCCTGAGTTGAGTAATAATGTGTTTTAATTATCCTTTACCTTTTTGCCTTTCATGCCATTGCGCCCAAAATTTCCTCTGTTTCCCTATAAAGTTAACAAACAAAAAAGTTTTAAAAAAAGTCTCTACTGGAAATTCAGCTCTGAGTAATCATAATCATAATTTTACAATTTTGGCACCTATTTTGTATGCAAAAAAACTTAAAATGTTTCAATAATCAACTGTTTACATTATATACCCTGGCTATAAAGGAAAAAAAAGTGTCGACTTTCCCTTTTTATGCAGTTATGTGTCTCATGCACTTCATGTAAAAAATTATAGCTCCTAAATTAAGAAGACTAGAATATCTAAACCATTTCTTGATGTTATAGAAAGGCAGCTTATTCTACTCAATTATTTTAAGACCTTGAGTGTTGGTCCGGCCGGGGCTCGAACCCACAACCTCCTGCACATCAGTCCAGCGCTCTATCAATTGAGCTAACCAGGAGGCACTTAACTATCAAGTTGCTACTTTTTACCTTAGCTCCTCTCTTTCCATGGTTTCCTCCCAGCCCTTGCTCACCACGATCACCCTATAGGAATGGTGAAACAAATACCACTTATGTTGTGATTTTTTATGATAAATTATAAGTCTTCTCTTTAACAAATGTCCATTACTTGAAAGGAGAAGTACATTCTTGAAAACATATTATTCTAATCTCTGCATTCAAAAGTGTCTATAAAAAAATATAACAAACCACCACCTCTTGAGATTCCAAGGAGTGACCAAACCATTGAAACATTATTTTATAATGTGCTAAAAAACCTTTATAGTGGAGGCCCCCTTTTAAAAACAATTTAGTAAACCTGCATGGCCACCCACAAAACACAATACATGGTTCTCAAACAGCTGCTGCAACAGTTATCACTCTGATACATGACAGGTAAGCAGACAAAGTAAAACTCAAAATGAGCAGAGGAGAGTTTCCAAAAGGTTATGTTATCCTAGGCAATCCCCAGGCAGTGTCACATTTGTGCTTTTTACATGTATCAACAGAAATAAAAATTATTTGGGTTCTGGAACACAATTCTCTTTTCTAAATATTTTGGGTTTTGAAATTCATTAAGTATGTTTTCCTAACAGCTAGCTTTGAAACATATAGACTCTGCTTCCCCAAATGTGAGTCATACAAGGTATAAACCCACCCACCTGAAACTCCTAAAAACTTATAACACCCAAGCATTACATCTGGTATCTTCTAGAGTTACAAAACACTTGCCTCATATCCTTGAACTCCTCTGGAACCTGGAGGTCCTTGAATTCCCTATAGGGTGAAATAATTGACTTTTATCATTCTCAACCTCATGGTGACCAGCAATATTATGGAAATTTTTATCAAAGTTCACCAAATATCACTCATAATTAACATCTTGAAAATTCAACCCTCCTATCAAGAGTGATTTCAGTGCACAGTTGACAAAATATAAACCACATAAATCTTTTACTTCTTATTGTGCTTACGCACAGTTTATTTCATTATTCTCTTTGTGCACTCCATTTCTCACCCACCACTGCAATGATTAGGGGAAGGTAACCCTTCTAGTTCCCCCCACCCCTTGTACAATGGAGCAGTATGTATTTGCCATCCAGTTTCAATCCTTCCTAATACCAAATGTTGTTCTCCAAGTCCCCTTGTAGTGTTCTACAGCAAGGTAGAATCACCCTCTTTTCATCCCCAAAGACAACAAAACCTGCATGCATGCAGGAACTATTCCTGGATGGACTCCAAGCAATTAAGTGTGACATGGAGTTAAACAATGTAATAACTGCATAGGCTCATTCTGCATAGGCTCAAAAATCTAGAGCCATTCCACGTTAGAAAACATCTCGCAGAAGGCCTAGTACTCTCAAAGCTGAACTATGCTTGCACGGTATTTCATCCCTTGCCTGTTTATCTAGAGAAGCGTCTCCAACGTCTACAGAATGCATGTGCTGGCTTTGTCACAAGAAAATTTGCAGGTCTCAAGGATATTATTAAGTTAAACTGGTTACCAGTTAAAGAAAACATTGAATTCAATATTCTCAAACTCGCTCATAAATCATTGTACGACAATAATAGCTTTCCTGAGTATCTGAAACTGACTCTCCATGAAGTAACTGCTTATAATTTAAGATCATCAACAGCACCCATATTTTTTACTCCTAGAGAATCAGGAACTTTCCGGCACTTGGTGGCAACGTTGTTCAATAGACTCCCGATAACAACAAGAAACATTTTAGAACATAATGTTTTTTGCCGTAGTGTTAAGTAACATTTGTTTGCTAAATATCGCGCTCGAATCCACATAATATGTATTGTATATTTTAATATCTCAGGATAAGTTACATTGATTGATTTTATTATTGTTATTATACTTTCAATTAGTTACTACATATATATACTTAGATTAGATTAGTATTGTTACAGAAGAAGAGCCTCTTAATTCTTGGAATCTGTAATAAATCAATAAATTAAATGTAAAAAATTACATAAATAAAAGGAAAAAGAATTAAACTGACATTATTGATTACCAGGAACTACACTTACACAATTTCAAACTCAGATATATCATACCACTACTTACAGGATTTCCAGATGCTCCCATCAGTCCTATTTGTCCTCGGGAGCCTCGAAACCCCTGGCAATTCATAATCAAGATTTTTTTAAGTAAAAAAAACAAACATAATCAAGATTTAAAAAAACAAACAAGTGCAAGGCCAATCCAGGGGCACATAGCATAACCCAAGGATAAACTTGCCAACTATTGTAATATCTAATATGTGAATTATGTTACTCTGTAATAAATTAGTCTCTAATTTTTTATTCTTATTTTTTTTTTACATGACAGTGGTAATGATCACTTTGTCAAAGAGTAATTTTGTGGTTCTCTTAAAAACCATTGGTAAATTTGCTGGTAAAATAGTACACTAATCAGCTGGAGATTTTCCAAATCTATATAAATTCTTCATCATGTAATGATCAGCAGCATTTTACGCACACTTTACATGATTTTGAAAGCCATGCGAAATTAAAACAAATGTTTAACTAGCGAAACCCTTTAACTCCCAGATGTAATAAACTTGTAACTTCTCCCTATAATATCCCTGCATACATTATTCAGTAATCATGTAATGAGAATAATCAAACCTATCAGGTAGAAGTTGTTATTTAGTTCTAATACCAAATGCACATGACTAATTCACAAGGATGTATGTAGCAGTTCAAGGGGAGAATTACAAATTAGATTTTGGGAGTTGAAGGGTTGACCTGAGTCCATTTATCTGACTCCACGAACATCTCTCAAACAATATGTATATCAGAATAGGGGAGAAAAGTTTTCAAACACCAACTGATCTGATAGCAAAAAATGGAAAGTACCAAGAAAAACCAGTTGGGTTTGTTTAGGATTAATAACAACTTGTTCACCAGCAATCAAGCAAGTTTTGTAACTTGAGACAAAATTTCAAAGAGACTTAAATTTAATATCCTACCAGTAAAGCTGTGATAGTCTTGAGCTCAACATACTAGGAACTTACTTGAGGTCCTGGATCTCCAGGTTCACCAATATCACCAGGTTCTCCCTATAGTAGAAATTGATAGACCGTAATATTTATACATGCTAAAGCAGATATAATTTTTGAGTTAGTGTGTGATCTATAGCTGATTCCTATAGGCTAAATTGCATTGCATAATGACAATTTCATTTACAGGCCAAAGGTCACATTAAGAAAAAAAAAAATCCAAAAAGTCCATCTATGTTTCTCAATCAAAAAATCTGGGAAAAAGTGACAAGAAAAATATGGAAATCAATAATTATTCTAGATTATATTCCAACACTACTAAACACTGCATGATTTATCCTATATACCAATAATACATAGAAGTGTAGTGTATATATACATTGTTTTGATATATACATGTAGTACATATACATATGTGTGTGTGTGTGTGTAAGTTTTCATTTTGTAGGACTACATGTTAACATTGTGTATCATGAAATAAAAGTTACCATTGATACAGAAGCATCAGGGCAATTGAAGTTACTGTAGGTCAATGAATGTCTATGATAACAAAGTTATATCTGATGTACCTGATTACCCTCTACACCTGGTAGTCCAGCCATGCCTGGTTCACCTGCATCACCCTGATATAACATATATACAAAGAAAAGATTACAAGGTTGCATATATATCATGTTAAAACCAAACAATGTACCATGCACTGTTCAATAGCAGGTCACATGGGCCCGATTTGCCATGAAAAGTTTAAGCTAGCCTGTGACAACACTTTTTAAAATAACTAATACTCAATTAGCCAAGAAGCAAGTGGAGGGTTCTGAACATGTTAACCACTGGAACAACCCAAACCTCCTTTCCCTTTCTCCCTTCACTAAGGATTGTAATCATTGTTAGCATTAGATAATTTTTCGTATGCATTAGCTAATGACATAAGAAAAATGTTACTGTAAGTCAGTGACCATGATACTAACTAGTGGTCCTGGGTGTCCCTTGGGTCCATTACTTCCAGCACGACCCTGTAAATTCAACCACATACTGATTCTGAAATACCTGACAATTGTGTGATTGTTTTTTTAAGGTAGTGATAGTAGTTATCATATGTTCACAAATTGGAACATTGTCTGTGATGCAAGTTCTTACAGGATTGATAGCTGGGTGTAAACAGGTACACCTACCGTAGGACCAAAATGAAACAGCTGTTTTTGTACTCAAACCTTTTTAAGTGTTGTTCCAAACCATAAATAACCAAAAAAATAATTCAACCAAAGTAAACCACTATCTATGGAAATAATTTGTTTCAATGTATTGATGTAACATCTCCTTTACCTGGTGTCCAATAATCCCAGGATCTCCTTTTAGTCCTGAAGTACCCTGAAAAGTAAAACAGACAACAAAGTTACTAAAGCTTTGGAATTGAGTTTTTTCTTCTTCCTTGGTAATCTACTGAAACAAAGATGCACATTCTAGTATAAATTTCATCCTGATAGGTTGTTAGCATAATGTATTTATTAAACCCTATTTCTTAAAATTGAATAATTTAATTGATCAAATTTTCTTTTCAAATAATATTGTCACTTTTTTTGGGGAAAATATCATATGGCTTAAGACACATGAGCATCATGTGATGACATTTTTCACCAATATATAATTGATGTTCATAATTACATCAGGCCTAAATTCTAATTTCAGTCAACACTTAAAAGAGCAACTTACCCGCTCACCTGGAGGGCCATGAGAACCAGGCTTTCCAAGGATGCCATGTGGACCCTGTTATAACAAAGTTGTATGAGATAAGAGGGATGATTCAAGCAGAAACATGGTGTATGCATTTTTTGAATTCACAAAGAAGGAAACTCTCAAGAGATAATGTGTTTAAATGTTCATGCCTAACCTGTATGCCCTTATCACCTTTATAACCCTTGGGTCCATTTTCACCAGCCAATCCCTAGAATAAAAGTCAACTCCTATAGCTTGATAGTGGATACACAGTAACAAACCATTATACAAAATAAGCAATGAAAAATGGTTAATTCTATCCTTAATTCTGTATTTGGATTTGATAAGTGATCTGTTATCAATCCAAATTGATATTTATATTTTGTGCAAAATGGGAAAACCATACATTGCAGTAGCGATTACTAAACCTGTAAAGAACAATCTCAAACACACACACACACACACAGAAAAAAAAAAGAATAAAGAATGTACCCCACCTACCCACTTCCACACCAGTATCTGTATCTAACATTAATTTAGGTTGATAACAGATCACTTATCAAATCCAAAAGTCATGAATTTCAAATTAAAATATGTATAAATGACTTACAGGATGACCAGGGGACTTAATGACTGTTATCACTCTTGTTAATTCTGTCACAGTGTTACTGGGAGGACCCTAAAGAATTGTAAAACAAAGTAATGGTATTTTACAAGAGTTGAAAAGGTTTTGCAATGAAAAAGTCCTCCTACAAGGTTAAAGCAAATCATAATAATATTGATAATAAGTAATGAAGCCAATAGAGAGAAGAAGTAATAATTAATAAATGTTGAACTGAAGTGCCCATAGTGAGGTAGGGGGGATTATTGGACACTATTGATAAGAACTAACAACTTGCCTTCACTCCAGCAGGTGCTGGCATGGCAACCTAAATAGAAAAGTCCTGTTATTAATTGTAAACAAAAGTGGTATCATACAACAATGACATTTATCACTGACAGTAATTGTAAGCTCTTAAAAACTAAACTAGTGCAATAATTAAAGAAAATCAAATTTGTTTGATAACTATTTAATTACTATTTAGTGGAATTACTATTTAATTTCTATTTTAGTGGAACGAGGCATGTCAAGAGTCCAAAAGTGTAAAACAATGAAATCAAATTGTCAATGCCAACTCTGAATAAAATGTCTATTTCATTACCCATTGGCGTAGCAATCTAAGTATCTATTAGTAAATCATACACTTGCAAAATTTTGAATAAGCAATGTTATTTCTTGTGAACCATCTCATTGGATCAGAATCTTAAGTCCACTTATCTGATTGACTACTTACTCCATTATTGGCAAAACAGAAAAAGAAAAACCAAAGAAAAACATAAATGACATATTCACCAGTCTGAGTTAAACCATGAGGGAAAAACTGTGCCCTTATCCTTGAGCACAGTACACAATATACATTGGGCACAGTTTTTTTCCCATATGGACCTCCCCCCAACATATAATAACATATAGGGGTTTCTTAAAGTTTGAGAGTAAACAGAAAAAAATTGCAAAGTAGGTGACTAATGGAAATTTGATTGTGACTACAAACTAGGTAGTGATTTTGCTTTACATGCCGGCTGGCAGCTTCTATTAAAACAATTAATAAATAATTATTAAAAGATTGCTCTGTGGGATTGCCCTAAAAGCCACAGAAAACAATGCCTTTTGGGTCAGCTAATAACAAAGTGCACCTCTGCCAATGTAATCTATTGCATAACTTGCACTTATTGCATAAAGATATACATCAGCAAAACAGGCAGAAGACTAGGTGACCGATTCCGAGAACACCTTTGAGACGTGGAAAGGAATGACAAGGACACATCGAAACCAGTTGCTAGACATTTTAATTTACCTAATCATTCTAAGCAACATATGGCTTTAATGACTTCAAATTTGCAGTACTTACTTTCATACCTTCTAATTACTTTCTTTGAGGATTTCTGTTCCTTCTGATATAATTTTTATGTCAGACAGATAGATAGATTATCTGTCAGACAGACTATTCGCTCCGACGAAGGGCTAACACTCGAAACGTCAGCTTTTGGAATCGTTATGGTGGCCAATTTACCACTTCAACTTTTTTGATATACCCAAATTATTTCGTTACTCCCACCGACGCAGCCCCAAACAGTTTCTTTCGAAACTATCAGCCTTTAATAACAAAGATAGTCTACCATTGTAAAAACCATCTTTCAAACACTTACAAAACCTTGGCCTGATTGTGTTTCAGTGTTGTTCCAACTTTCCTGCAATAAAATTTCATAGCCTCATCATTAGGTGAAATGACCAAAAATATCTGATTGAGCAAAGAAATGAGAAGTCTATAGAACAATCTCTAACCTTAATCTGCTGTTTAGCATGAACATTTTTTCTATCAGTGCAATCACTTCTCAATGGTCTCTGGCAGAAAGCACTCACACTTTCTTGCTGATCCAGGAGTAACAGTTGACAAATATCATTCTAATTGAAAGAAGTGGGATCGATAAACTCACACGGATGTTTAATAATTATTTAATAATAGCCACTAGCGTTTCAGATGGAAAATATAAGTCAATTTCTTTCAAAGATGTTGCGACGGCCTCCCCTAGATTCTTTAAGAAAATTCTTTAAGAAAAAAACAACAATCTTTCATTTTTTTCCCTTTTATCCCATTTTTTCTAAATTTGTTCAAATCTCATTAGCATTTTGATAACCAAACCAGGGTTTCTACAAATATCCATACCATTTGCCATTTGGTTAGTTTATAATGCATATAAGTAATACAAATGACTACATAAAACCTAGAAATTGAAACAAAAAGCTATTACACAACCAAGGTAAAACACCAGCTTGGCCTGACTTTGTAATTTCCAAAACATCTAAGTCCATCATCTCTTCCTTTACTTTACCAGTCTCTAAAATATATGAAGTCTTTCAAGTTGTAAATTAATTTATCAACCATCTTTCTCTGTACTATATTGCTTTCTTTGGTTCCCATCATTCCAAGCAGCCTCATCATTGTGCCAAATGCATTCACTTTTTCTCTGGTATTACATCAATCAGTTTTGGTGGCTCACCAAGAAGTGAACTTCTAAAAAAGCATAACTAACACTCATCACAGACTGAGATACCTTTCAACCATCATAATTGTTACCAAATTCCTTGTTACAGCCAGCATTCTACCTGCTTGATATTAATTATAGCTTTCAATTTTATCACCATGTAACCGTTACAATGCTGTAGTTACAGTCAACCCTCAAAGAGAGAGAGAGCCTCCCATTCTCTCCTCTCCACTGACCCCCATAAGGTAGAGCTTTAGTGTCTTTGCTTCACAGTTTTCGGAATTTTTCTACAAGCTGTTCAGATAAACCATACATACCTCAATATCACTATCTTGGGCATCCTCAAGGTGTGCTGTAACGGCAATCTTTTCCCACTCTTCCAATTTACTAATGCTTGGTAGTGATAAGTAGTTGAATTCTTGACAATCTTGGGTGACTGAGATTTCTTGGTGATTAAAGCTTACTAGCAATTTTTGCCATGAGGAAATATTGGCTAATTTAACAAGGCCAAATAAGGAACTATTTATTTGAAACAACAATGATCTATTCTGAACTGTAAGGACATATACAGTTTCAGATGAACTTCCATCAACAGCATTTACATTTATCACAAAGCTCCTATTATCTAATTCTTGTCTAAAAATCAGAAGTAAAGTGTATCTCAAAGAGTTTTGAGTTAATAAATAGTCATTTTCTGGTATTAATGGTGCAGTTGTGCTATTCTCTTCTCTATTTGGTAAATTTTGCTTAATATTATTCTCTGATGCATATATTCCTGGAGTGCGCAATCCATGGAGATCTACACAGGAAACAATGAAAAAGCACATTTAATTTGAGTCATGTGATTCATAAGACAGAACCCATCATATCCATTAACTTTTTTCTCAGTTTGTGAATGGGCAGCATTCTCCAAATCCTGTGATCTGATTGGTTCCAAGAGTAGGCAGTATTCTCCCATTCAGCCCACTCATGGTGGGCAATATTCTATCTATAATTTGTGTGTTGAGTCATCTCATACATTCTTACCTCTGTTGCAAATTTTCATAAATACATTTTGTTTTACCAGCTAGGCAGCATTACCCTGCTGGCAGAGGCATTTATTTGGTAACTTCCCCTACAGTCCACGTAAAAATAAAGTCCTCTGCGCTTGGCCTGTTAAATCTTCTTCAAGCATGCACGGCCTGTTGCTTAGAAACAAATCAGTTCCCGGTAGTACTCGGCCAACTAAATAGGATGCGTGCACATAAAAACGCGTTTAAAACAGGTTCTGACCGGTTTTGCAAATCAGATTATCCACAAACTCGGATAATTCCCAGGCGCATGCTCGAAGAAGATTTAACAGGCCGAGCGCAGAGGACTTTATTTTTACATGGACTGTAGGGGAAGTTAACAAATAAATGCCTCTGCCAGCAGGGTAAGGCAGCATTTGTAAGCAGATTTCATTCACGACCTTAAGCTGAAAAACAACTTACTAATTCTCTCTTCTCTCTCAAAAACTGATTTCCAAGAGAATTTTGTGATGCCAAAAGTGTTTTTTAAAATAGATTGACATGCAGCCTACAAAACTGTTTGTAATTCAATAATCTTTCTCAAAAAGTAACTAATCAGAAAGTTAAAGAGGCATTATTTTGCAGTTAAAATTACATGAATCAATTTAAGGTGGCTTGTACCAGTTTCCTCATGCAGGGAACAGGTCACTCTTACGTGACGCGCACGAGAGTCACGTGCGAAAGAAGCGCGAGATCAAAAGATGAAAATTCAAAACAAAGATGGCAGCGTGTGGAATTTTTTCTACTTTTGTGAGAAGTTTACCTAAGAGCTTGTATTTGATGTGTTGAGCGGCTACTGTGAATGCAGTTAATAGAAACTAAAATAAAGAAGACGACTTTTGGAGAAGTAAAGGTTGCTTCACTTCACATTTAAAAGAAATATTCAACCGATATGAAATCTTGCGACGGCGAAAAAAGAAGAACTCAAGTGAAGGATAATCTACCTGAAGTGGAAGAAGACTTTGAAACTTAAAGGAAAATAATATGATATAGCCAGAAGTCGTGTGTAGGATTTTTAAGATGAGCCCGGGAGGCTATCTTTGACAGCTGTTTAATGATTTTCTTAATTAGCAGTAAAGGTCTGTAAACATCAGATTGTAGGCGCGCGTGTGAGCACATGCAATTGTCAGCGGTAGCTATAACAGATCATGAGCAAATGTCGATCTTATAGAATCCAGACTTTTAAATGCGCGAGAACGCACGTGGAAATTGCTAAATGTGTGAAATGCAGACTTTCGTGTTCTCAATTTGACGTCACATTACCCGCTAGAGCCATTCCTCTTTAAACTCAGTTGTGGGGCAAGATGGCGGCCGATTTTCCCTATTTTGACTGGGCACAGAAAATTGAAGATTTGAAGCAATAAAAAAATTTTTGCACAGAAACACTCCAAAAAATATGCTTATTTCATTAAGCAATAAAAATTTTGGGGTTTAGGTGCACTTAAAGCATAACAAATAATATCATTTTCAAAACAGTCTCACAAGTGGAGTAAGTGCTTTTCCAGATGTTCACTCCCTTGCATGAGACTATCAACAAACAATCAACTGATCAAACAGTTTTTATATTATCCAAAGACTAAATATCTGCAGCCTATGCTAAGATCCACAAGCAAATGAAGCTAAACCTGTCTAATTATATAAAAAAAAAATAACAATTATTACAATATATTAACATTTTTGGAAATGCTATTAATGCTTCAATTTCACAAATACATGAACCTAACAAAGTTTCATGTTAGAAAGACAGGGCAAACCAACAAGGAAATGACTGAAATGCTTTAAATTATTCATATTAGCAAAGGATGACATAAAGCAAATTATAGGGGAATTTTGAATCTTCTCACCTGTTGTGTTTGAAGTGCTCAATTCTGTAGCAACTCCTGTTTGATGTCCATCAGCAGTTGCAGTGATGAGGAGAAAGAAGAAAACTAGGATGGATCTGAAATGAAGTAACATCTCACCTTACAATGAAATATGTAGACATATTTAAATATATCTATGGCAGTGAGTAAATGGTGAACAAATTGCACAAGCTGCACATTTAAGAATTGTCATGGATTTAAAACCAAAGTCTTTCCTTGTATTCTTTACATTTAACTGTAATCAGTGAATGCTTGGGATTATTTTGAAGAACCAAAGGCAGTTAAGTAATGCTTGAAAGATGTCTGAAATTTTATGCTTGCAAGTATGTTATTCTCAGTATGGTAAGTCAGGAATTTAGAACACTATATCTTAACTAGTGGCATATGCTAGTAAAGTTAATGTATTAAAAATGAGAATTAAAACAACTCTATATTGTATTTAAGAAATTTCCAACTTCAGAGTAAAAAGGATTTGCAGCAATACTGGTATGCTCATAAGCTAAGTAGAAACAAATCTAAAATACATGCAAGTATGAGGCTGCCTTTGTTGAATGATTTAATAAATTCAGATTGTTTTCATCCGTTCTTCAGTGAGGTGTTTTTAACATGCTAGTGCCCAACTCCAAATACATAACAATATAGTACCTGCAATGATCTGTTTATGTTCAAGGAAAGGGGGATTCCCTCTTGAAGATAGGCAACAGCATATAATTATGTAGCCCCGTCAGAAAGGCAAAAACAACACACGCACATTTTACATTCCGAAAAAAAAAAACAATAATCGCTAATTAAGTATATCAGAGAGATTTCTATGCTTTCACTGAAATAAAATGAAGAGTTAAAATACCCCTAGAGATACGATGGGCCTGGACATATTTCTCGCATGTTTACTTTGGCATTAGTGCTCTCAACTTCACTCGAATGAAAGTGGAAAAGTGGCTTAGGGGCCATAATGACTCGAAGTCTATTAATGTTATCACTGCCATGTTCATTAGAATATGTTGAGAAACAGGAGAAATCCTTCACCCAACATCAAATTATTGCGGCACTTTCTGAATAAAGCTTCCAATTCTTTACTCCAAAGAATCAATTTGACTTAATTTCGTATTTACTGAGATTTGGCAATTGTGAAAGAATTTTAATGAGGATATCACATATAATTACAACATGTGACAAAAAAAATTTTTTATCAACGCTAGGTTGTATTTCACGTAACTTCGGAACACCTTTCCGGACAGAAAAGAGAGCATAATTTGTCTTAGCACAAACACCGCGATGTGAGCGACACTTACTTTGAAAATTTACCAGTGATAAGTCCACAGAAGGATTTCGGATTTTCCAAGGTCTTGTAGGCAATTGTTTCCTTCTTGGCTAAGAACGTGGTAATCATCGCATTCTCGAGGCAAGGCTTACAAAAGAACGAGACTGGGTTAGGTTTCTGCCTGAAGGGGGCTCACGATCACACAAGAACTCACTGTGAAACGAGGCGACAATGTGATGCAGTTTACTGTCAGATGACGAAACCACTATTACTGTCACGCAGTATCCTCTGTCAGATAAAGGTGGCCTTTCGTGAGCCAACTATGAGAAAAAACTACGGATGCAATAAGCCATTCATAATCAGGGAGAGACTTGCGGTGTTGAAAGAGACAAAGTTTTCATTATTTTAAGTATAAGCCTGCACTGAGAGCTAACTTATCTACGTACCACGTCACATGATGGTTCTTCAAAGCGTTCGTCAATGAGTGTTTGTACAACGTATTGAAAATACGCGAAAAGTCTTAAAGCACTACTCAAAGACGATCCTTGTCCTACCTGCAGCCTTCGGTGTGGAGATTGCTGCCGGCCTCGTTGTTTTCAAAACACAGCGCGCGATCTCTAATGCAAGCCATGCGTCAGACTGGACCCAAGTGGCTTGCTTGTGTCAAGGACAACGACAACAACAGGACCTTTGTCCGCTGCGCGGTGGGTGTAATACAACGAGAGGCGACAAAAAAATAACCTTTGTTGCTTGGAACGTGACACATATAGAAAACGATCGAAAAGTCACTTTGAGCATATCTAGAACTCTATATAATATAACGCGCAATGACAAGGTAACCAAGTCAACGTACCTCGGAGAACAGTCTTAATGACGACTGCGTGACAAGACTTCACGCGGACGTGCGCGTATGTACGTTTCCAAAATTTGGGTAAACTTACGAAGAAAGTAAAAGCAATAAGGGAATAGTTATACTGGAAATGAGCACTCTATCAGCTTATAAATGAATTAACTGATCCAGTTTAAATCTCAGGAATGGTTTGCGATTTGACGTAAGGTGATACACAATTTCGTAAAACCGGTCGACAAACATACAATTCAGCTTCTTGACGGTCATTGAATGACTATAAACATTTAAATGTTTTTGCCCGCAAAACTTCTTTAGCAAGTTAAAGGAGAAGAGAAGGCAAAAAACCTAGTAATTGAAACATTATGTTTTGACTTACCGAATAGCGTGCCGCGCCACTTACTTAGTGCTGATACATTTTTACTAGTTTGCAGTCACTTTTACACTCTACCTTACACGATAAGAACTGATGACTCCTTCGGGTAAAATATGGGACTGTTGTCTTTTCCTCAACTAAAACACGTTTCCGGCGGGAATCCAATAAGCCTCTTTAAAAAAAACTTAGCTGATGGATTATTATCCAAATGAAATAGGAAAAAAAAAGAAGATAAATATAAAATATTTGTGAGTTTTAGCACAAATATTGGCAACTGCATGCTTTTCATACAGGGCCTCAAATTAGAAAGAAAAGAGATCAATCTCTTTAAGCAGACTGTAGTTTAACTGACGCGATGCGACGTGATGGTAAGCTTAACCGTTCTAACGCGCGAAAATAAATATATGGCGATGAGATTTAACAAGGCTCGTAAAAAAGAATTCACAGCAACAACTGAGATTTCAACCTGCGGTAATGATTACTGGATACAGAACTTGATTAAGAATGAAGGGAACAGCGGCACATTTAAAAAGTATTTGATTACTAATCAAAGATCACGTTATTGAACTGTGTTTGAGGTATCAGAATAAAGGAGGGTCCATTCAACACTTTTTGGAAGAATTCTCATCAAAGGAATCTTACGCAGCAGGTGCGGTCTTCAAACGAGATTCAATCACTAATCCGTGTAGGCTCATTGCAGAGATATTGGAAAATCTCTTTCAGAAGCAACAATTATAGCCTTTCTTTTGGTTAGGAAATACCCTTAGGGGTTTCCACTCCACCCGAAACTGTGATAAGACTGGTTGAAATATATTCATTGCGTAAATCATGTGCATTGGAACGATAGGAATCGCAGGAATCACCGATCACGAAAACCTTTTATTCAAGCTAACACTTCTGTAGTGAGTATTAATAGCTTGAAAACAAATCTGCCCAACAAAAAGATCAAGAAATGCTAAACAAATTTGATTAGTTTGTTTCGCATATATATCTGACAGCTCAGAATTGAACTTTCATGAAAAGGTAGGAACAGAACCTCCCCCGGCACTACACAAGACTCCTAACATAGCTTGAATAGCAACTGGAACGACAAATTGGCTCTTCTGGGCTGTTTAATAAATCTCGGAGCTTAGGTTACAACGAAATACTGGTGATTGATATTAATGAGCGTAGTTAGGTTTCATTGTAAAACTACCGCGTATATGTATCGTCGATAAATATCTCAGCGAAAAGTACTTTGATAAGAGTATTTGACACCCACTTGAAAAATTTTGCCGCAGAGTAAAACGAAAAGGTCATTTAAATACCCTAGCGCCGTTGTAGGACCAACAATTTTCTTGGCCAAATAATTCCGCGGTAGAATTGTCTACTTTTGATAGCACTGAGTTGAGTGCTAAACAGGAAGTCAAGGAAATCACAACGTTGCACTGACCTTCTACAAATTCCGGAAGATTGGAGTCAACTCTTAGTCTGCTTTTATTAAGATGTAGTAGAGTTCAACAGCAATCACCTCAGTCATTCAAACACCAATCCAGTTGAGATAGCTGGTTACAGCTACCCTTTTAAAAGACCCAAGGTCTCAAACTAACGACCAACTTTTTCCCGCCGTACGGTTAAAAAAAACCTGACCTGTGCCTGTGTGTGCCGAAAGTTGTTTTAAGGGACATAGATAACCATTACGGTTAATTATATTGTATTAAATCAGATTAAAATCAATGGTAAGTTTGCAGAAAGAGAGAAAACACACACACTTACGATTGTAAGTGATCATTGGTAGATCCGCCTAATAAAAAGGTGCGTTACCAAATGAACTACTTGAAGAAAGTCAACGGCAATAGTTGCAGTCCGTAGCCAGAAGGAAAGACAGACAAAGAGAAAGCAAAAGAAAGGGATAATGTGTTCTTACAACTGTGTAATCAAAGAGCACTGGAAATCAGGCTTGTGGTTCTTGTTGTTTAAGTGCCATTTTGATCAGTGCAAAAGTGAACAGTCAGTGTGGTATGTGGCCTAGCTCTAGCATCCTGACTTAAAGTGTGAAAGTGTTTAGAGCTTCCGACTAGTGTGGGTTACGCTCGTGGTTCGATTCCGCTGGGGTGCGGTCTGAAGGCTGACCTGTGCTTATTCAATACTGAAAACAGTGAAAGAGAGGTACGATGGAGTCACACCGTCTTTGCATTATAAGACGAAAGAATGAACAAAGCAAGCTGCCCGGGTAATGCGCGAAGCTCCGCTGTTAAAACAACTACGCCTGGTCTGGAAGGTCGGAAGAACTGACCTGACATTGAGAAAGTGTAATCAAAGGGTTGAGATCATCCCTACTTGGCGTAACCCCAATATTCCGATACCCCGATGAATACTCCTTAAAGCCCAAGTTCATTCAAAGATGATCTGGACACTCTCAAACCCAAAGTCCGGTGAAAACACGATCGGAAATCGTCCTTCTACATAACCCGTCCAACCAGTGAAGTCACAATAACCTGTCCAATTCACTTTTCGTAATACCGCCGGATTTCTTTTATAATTCAAAATACATCTTAACCCATAATCCAGCTGATAATCTTCTCGTTTGATCTCAGACAAATCCATCTTTTTCTAGATCATAGATACCCTTGGGAGCCATCAAATGCCTTTAACTGACCAACGCAGCTGAATACTGAACTTAGTTGTAGTCTAACAGTGAAACAAAAAAAAGTATTCCTACCTTCCTATGATCAAGGACGACCTTGTTCATGAACCTCAAGGTTCATTCTGATGGTCGTTATCAATAATGATAAGACTTCGATTTATCGGAGTTATCAGATCGATATGAAGGTATTGTTTGGCTGGAACGAGCTGGAGTTGTTGTTCAATCATTATCGACCCAGCTTCGTCGTCTTCCCTTCGTAAACATGATCGACAAAATTGATCTTAAATAGCGATAGTCTTAGATAAAATAACCGTGAAAGCTGGAATATCTTTCCTTATCCTCTTTACCGGGTACATAGTCAAAAGTCTTTTTAACTTTTACAGAGTACAAGAAGCACACACAAAAAGTGAGCTTCACGTGAGTTTCAGGAGCATGGCGTTTTATGTTGCAATGTCACACTTCTACCTTCTACTCTCTTCGTTCTTCGTTAGCTTCCCTAGCTTCCTGTTTTCATTGTAACGCAGGTCAGGCTTATGTAAAGCTTTAACAAATGATCATGCTTCCGTGTTTGTCCCACTCATATCCAGCGCTAGCTGCAAGACCAACTGAATCATCTTTTTCTTTATGGACCTATAAAACTGTGTAGCACGGACATAAAGACAGGGACTGAAACACATGGCTGTTCAGTCCCGCCATCTTGACCTCAGACTGCACGGTCGGTGGGTATACCTTGCGGTTATAGGTTCAGTTTCAAAGTCAAATTGTCCACAATGGTTATGATGTCGTTGTCCGTCGACCCTGGTGCCCAAACATTGCATCAACATAGCCACTCTAAATAATTCTGATTTTGCTTACCCCTAAGTCGCCCCCTTTTTGCTGTGACTAAACATCAATCGCTTTCCTTCTTTGATGGCCAGATTTTCTACCGTTTGAACATCTTTGGTCCAACTAACTCCACAGGAATATTTACCAAATTATGAGTAAAGTTGATTGAAACTTACCCCCTTGAAAGGCTTTGTTTCACCCATTGTTGCTGTTGGAGTACTTGATTATACTCAAACTGTAAATCAATTAATATTGCCGATTCTGATAAATTTCCTTTTTGACAGTTCTTGAAAGTCAGCGAGGTAATCTGATTTCGTTTAACCCACTTAAGTGGTGTTTACAAAAACGCACGAAATGTGTAACTCACTTTATTTATAACCAATTTCGAAGAGGAGATGTAATTTTATAACCACTGATAAAAGCATAAGCCAAAATGAAAACGTAAAACTGCAATTAAAGCGATATGTCATTCCAAATTTTTATAACCTCATCACGGGGTGCATTCTTTATCCAACCAAGGGGGTAGGTAATGTGTAACGAGTACAGAAAGAACTTTTCTTAAATTAGGTCAATTGGCTTACTCTGGGTCAATCAAAGCATGTTTATACATATAGATATCTAGCTATGTCTCTCTACACAACTTGCATGTCGTTATAGAGGACACCAAGAGAATGTTTGAAGTCCATCAGTTCATTTTCAAGTTTACCTACGAAAAACAAAAGGGTTTAAATCATGTATAGCTTACAATTTGTGTGAAGGGACGGGTTAGAGAGGAAAGGAAAGAAAGTAACTTATTTTGTCAACACGTCTTGCGTTATTCCGAGGGTGAATGATGGACAAGTATGGCAAAATGGAAAAATCGAAAACATGTGTCTTAAGAGGTCAAAGAAAAGATAACTTGTGATAATAGACAACAATTTGGGATTGTCCGTGAACGGGGCCACAGATAATGTTACCCATATTTTTAAAACTGGGAGGCAAATCAAGTCTGCATACAGGTATCCTCATCAAAGCTTTTTTGATCTTGCGATAAAGCAGCCTTACGGTGTTCAGTTACAACATGCTCTTTACGCACTCTCCCACATACGGCGGTATACCTCTGAGAAGCGGAGCGGTCCAGCTCAAAATAGATGCAACGCAATATGATATCATATTCGGGCGTTCCAGATGAATCGAAAAGCGATTAATTTCCTATTAGCGCCCAATCGTGTCTTCGTAGACAGCTCGCGGTTTTGATTAATCCTTTCTCCTCGTTTACAAAGGTCACGATATCTTAACATCATTCGGTGCGTTGGTGATATGTTTTAAAATAGTTCAAATTTTGAACTATTTTTCTTTAATAGAAATCATCCCGAATGGGAATATTATATTGCCTTCATTATTCTCACGGCTATATCACTGCACGATACAATTGTATTGAAAATTCTGGCACATTTTAAGGTGGAAGTTGCTACAAAGCATTATGAAGTCTTGATTAAACTTCAGTTTTTTTAAATTTTCACTATTAGTTATCAAAATAATGGTTGCAAAGCAATAAAAAACTTACTTATTCTTTCAAGAACCGCAAACAATTCCTGAAGTTTGTCCTGAATAGCTTTGCTGTGTCTTTCATACGTTTGAACAATGTTTTCTTCCAGAACACCACAAGAGGCGTTAATTTGTTCCTCGAGAGCTTTCTTGAAATCTAAGAGAATGAGATGTTTCTTTGGTCCGGTTATATTACTCAGGAAATTGTAAGAGACGATGGGTATCTTCTGACGGACCCAAAGTTTCCGCTGAAGACTAAAAAGTGGTTCATTAGGGGAGCGACGTCCTTATACTTACATAAGGAGCATGTGCGTTTATGCCTTTCACAGATGCACACGTTAAGAATCTGACGATATATATCCCTAGAACAATGGCAGAGATCGGCTGTTGTGAATGAATTCTTATCATTTTTTTGCTGTGATTCTATTATCTATGGGGACCTAATATCGTCTTACACGAAAACGGTACTCATCATTTAGCTCAATGACGAAGTTCAAAATCCACCTTGACTGATCTACAAAGAATATATAAAGGCTAGAAGGAATAATTAAGAGTTAGATCTTGAGACCTAAGGGTGAAACCATCAACCATCCCGAGTGTGAGTAATAAGCGAACAGAAAGGCGTTCTGTTCTGTTGCAAATTGAGAAGCCATGTCTCCCTGAATCTTACTGTTTGTGGGAAACGCGGAAATTGCATATCTGGAACCACCCCATTTCCTTCAGTTATCGGCATTTACCAAAATTGTTGCCAGACTCTGTCTGGTGATCGTGATTGTCTATTTTGAATCAATTTCTCTGAGTACCTTTTACCGTCTCCGTTATGAGTTAAGTAATGATTTCATGTCTCATTGTTTCCGTTCCCGATTTCACAGAACTAAAAGCAGAACGGTAAATACTAATTTTACGCTCTTTATTGTCTACAAATTCGACAATATTTCTCAAATTTAAAGCGGTACTTTCGATATTCATAGCTTAATCGAGAGAAATAAAGGTCATTGCTTCCATATCGGATTTACTTAAGTCAAGAGCTAAACAAATGATAAAAAAAAAGTTCAAGAAGAAGGGTCAGGTTTCTCTTTCTAATCATGTCAAAATGAATTAACCCCTGCCCCTCTTTTGGTGTAAATGCAATTCATAGACCATGTAAACTAGCACAATTATATGATAATCATATACGTGTTGTTAAGGCTGTCGGCAAACATCGCGTAACAAGACTTAAACATTCAATCCAAATTGGAGGGGAAATTGGCCGCTCCCCACATGCAGGTAAAAGGAAATCTGATTTAATTCACAAGATCTTTTTAACCACATGGCACGGATAAGTCACATTTCTTAATGCATTTAAACTCATCCCCGTGAGAGTTTGTCGTCTTATGGATGGTGCCGTATAATAAATCGCCAAATGGGAAAAAAGTACCTTTTAACTAAATTCTCCATTTCAAAAACGAGTGGGGGAGTGGGTCGAGTTCGCTGCGCAAGGTTGTCTGGGATCGTTACTCGGGACGCAAATTTGTGTCCCGAGTAACGATCCCAGACAAACCTTCGCGGCGAGCTCGACCCACTCCCCCACTCGTTTTTGAAATGGGGAATTACCTTTACCAAAGTTACCCTTTTGCTGGGGTAAGTGCCACTCAAGAGTTTGGGGTTGCAATTTAGATAAGTTTCCAATTGAAGATCAAGAACGAGGCCAGATTAACCTAACGCACAAAAGCTTCAGGCCCGTCAGAAGCCTTAACACAAAATACGCTGACGAACTAAACGTTGCACGCTGTGGGCGGCACTCTGATCGCAACTTCTTTCTACCTGAGGGTTAAATTCGAAAAATGGCGGAACAGCCATGGCAGCTTAAAACGCTTTAGTATAATTTTAGAGCTGAGCAAAGAGTTTCCAGTAATCTGATTGGTCGAGCG